TAGAACTCCACATCCATTGAAATATGTTATAAATATATAAAGAGCACACAAAACAGATATATTAAAATATTCTTTTATATTAAAATATTTCGGTTTTTGTTATTTTTTTTTTATTCTATCATTGTTTTCGAATCTCGAGAGGCAAACGGAATTATAAAAATCGTATTACACGGTGTGTATTCTCGATTACAGTTTCAACGGAAACTCCGCCTTTGTAAAATCGATTTATTAGTTCGCAAGCTCGGCAAAAAAGGTTTTAAATGTATTTATCGAGTATCTTACGCGATTAGAGTGTCGTTTATGTATAGATAAGTATAAAAAGATTTCACGTGGTTTGCAGAATCAGATATATATATATATATATATATTTCTACAGAAATATTTAAACACTAAGATTTATTTTAACTGAATGTAGGATTTCTCTTATTTAATTAAATAAATGTAAATGTCTACAAATAGCTCAACAAATAATCAAATTATAGCCGAAAAATTGTATTTGCACAGCTCGACTCACCTGGCGACGGAAGTGTGAAATTCAGAGCTCGAATGCGACAGAGACAAGGAGCGTCAAGAGTCGCGTTGATTAATTAGTGGCAATTATACGACGGCTCTAAGATAATTAGCGATGCTTAACTCCGTTGACTTGTCCGATCTCATTATAAACGTTCCGTCGTGTATAAACCACACATGTACACAAACATATAAACACATGTCAAAGGATGAAATTTCTTGTCCACAGTTAATTTAACAATTGATGGCAGTGGTTTATTTAAGGGACCATCTATTCCAGTTTTATATCACAGTTTATTGTTTCTTTATTTATACGCAAGTTACTTGAATGCATTAATTAATATTGCTCTATATTATTACTTTTTTAGTTATATTGTCGCCGTCGCTGTTGATATTTTACATCAAATGAAGCAAAAATCGAAGCATTACAATCTAGTTCCTTCCATCGATATTTTTACTTTTGCAACGAAAAATAAATCACGTTTGAGTCTCTCACCGTTTGATTTCTCGCGAGATCACTCACGAGATTGTCTTCGCGGAAGCACATTCGACGACGTGAAGTTATGTGATCACTGAACTTTCTATGCTCTATAGATTTGTAGATATCTCTCCGTCGGTCTTTTCGAACCCTATTGCAGTCGTTGTCTTCTGACGACTGTTAAAATATCTAAAAATTCGATAGCCCCGAAAATGAAACTTGGATAAAATAATTATCGAAATAATTATGAAAAATCCAATTACGTGTGTATGTCAAATATGTTTATAATAAAATTAACAACTAAGAATATTTGAATAATTTGAATAATGTGTATGTGTGTGAGAAAAAGTAAACTCAATAATAAATGTCGTTTAACAATTTGAAAGAGCGAATAATTAACTGTGAAAATAATTGGATATATCGCGGTTAATGAGGTAATGAATCGATTAATAATCGAAATATAAATCTATAATAAATATAAATATAATTCAAATATCTAAGAAAATAAATTTAATCTCTTTTGCGTTCGTTTAAATGTCTTGAAATTTAACCCTATTAATTTAAATAATGATAAAATAATAAACGTGAAGAAAATCTAAACTACGAGAAATAAAAAACGAATTAAAAATAAACGATAAAAACAAATCCGCTCGCGCATTAACAATCTTGATTAACGCGTGAAAACTCGTAATTAATACGAGAACAACCTGGATATTTAGGCTCTTCAAGATCTTTCTCATAAGAAGAAACTTTCGTCTTTTTCAAGGGATACTTGAAATTCCAAGGGAATTGTGAAGAAGCACGGACACGATCGTCACATAATTCTTCCGCAGCACGCGTATTGATTCTCAATCACTGAGTGAGTCGTGTTATGAGGCGTCTACGTTTCGAAGATGATATCGCCAGGAGTGAAGCCAGCATTGAAACTTTTCGTGTCCTCGTCTCTATCGAGCGTCGCATTTATGTCCATCCTTTAAAAGATCATTGAGAGATATGTTTCGATCGACTCTCTCGATCATTGGCCGAGTCGTGCACCCATCGGGACCATGCGATCACATCGTTCACCGGTGTTCACGCGATCAATGGGTCGATCAATCGTTCACTATTCACGCAAGCCCGATGACTTGGTGCAGTATCTTGATCGAAAAACAGAAGACAAAAGACCGACGTTAGGAAGACTCGAAGATGTAAGATCGATAACAAGTCGAGGAAAGGATTCGGTCTCTTTATGATAGTACGATGACAGGTGAGCCGAGTGTCATGCCGATGAGAAACGAGCGGATGGTTCTTGCGCAAACCGTACGACGGTACTGCGGCCAGCGGCGCGCTACCACGTTGGAAACCTGTCCCGGAGTGTTCCGTACCGCGGCGCGCGGCTCTCTGCGTGCTAAACTGGCGCAAGCTCTTCTGAAGCCGGGGACGGGACACGGGACGTGTCCGTATAACAGCGGAACCCACGAGCGGCGGAAACTCGCACAAAGAGGAAGCTCGATTATTCGGAAAGGGGTACGCGGCTCGCGCGCTGAGATACACGAGGGATAAAGCGATGACCGAAAATTCGTGCGCTGATTCCGCGATATTGCAGCAGCTGGTTCAGCGTGCCGGATATTAGCCAGCAACTCCCACGAGTAATGCGATGCGCTGCTAAATTATTAATAACGAACGCGATACCTTCAAACTTCAAACGATCTCTGTAATTTACGCCTCCACTAATTAATTTGAATGATTTTTTTTATGTACAACACACATACGCCTAAATATGGATTGTTATTACGTCGAGTGTGTAATTTTTTTCATTAATCTGCTAATTTCTAATAATGTCTATTTCTTATCACATTTTTTTATAAAATTCTTCGACCCAAATATATAATGCTGCAAAGTATCGATTATTTTGATTAATTTCTTAATGTAAGGCGTTGTAATTGTTATTAATGCAAATTATTACACCAAATGTATATTTTTTTCCATTAATCTGCTAATTTCTGATAATGCCTCTTCTCATAAATTTTTATAAAATTTCCTGACCCAAATGTATATTGTTGCTCATTACCGATTATTTCAGTTTTTTTTTTAATGTAAGCCACTGTGTTTAAGTGCGGATTATTATTACTCCGAGTGTGTAATTTTTTCATTAATTTGTCAATTTCTGGTAATGCCCCTTCTCACAATTTTTTTATAAAATTCCCCGACCTAAATATATATTGCTCATGGAAAATTTATGGAAATTTATGGTAATTGATGAACCCGGAATCAATATCTATTTGTTTCTTTTATTCGAAAGAAAGGTGGAGAAGAAATTTTGAATTATAAAACAGAAATATGAATTGACAAATATACTTTATTTCTTGATGCTTTATATCAGTCACTAATAAGATGATAAGACGAAACATCTTCGCATCTCTGAAATTTATTAAAAGATCGATAATATAACATTAACATTTCGTAACATGTATATAACATTAATGTTAAGTTATTAGAAATGTATTGTTCTCGCAGACAAAAAATAAAAATATATCACTAATAATTTATGGAATAATTTATAGAAAACGAATAAAATAACTGTCCGCCCACTGATAAAATAGTACAGTGTTTTTACATTTTATCTCTGTCAGAAACTTGAATGAAATCGAATTGGAAAAACATCTACTATTTTATGATGGATGAAAATATAAAGATGATGTCAGCGATTTTGTTCATTTTGTACTATTTTATTTCGATCAATAGGATATGATGATTGTATGTAAATTTTTTATAAAAGCAGTAACTACAGATGACATAAAGCAAAAACTCTCGAAAAATTAAAATTAATTCTAATTAATTTACAATTGCAAATTAATTTAAAGTGTAAAAAATAAAGAAAGACAAATAAATGTCAAATTTACGTATAATTTGTATTAAATTTTAAGACATGGCCGACATTCATTCGGTTTTTGATCTATTTAAGACCATCTTAAGACCGTTACAGTCTTAATTCTTTGATGGCTATAGCATTTCGTCACAAATTTATTAGCAGACTAGTATTGTAAAAAATATCGTTTAAATATGAACACATTATATTAAACTTTTTTAATCAAAGACTAATTAAAATACTACATATTAAGGAATATATAACAATAACAAGCATGTATATGTATTTTTATTAAAAAAAATTACGGTGTATAAGGTAAAAGAAAGCTCGGGTATACCGTAACCAATGTTAAAAATAAAAAAGATAAAATAATTTTTAAAGTACTAGTGACCTTTAAACATTTGAAATTCGAATTTCGTTTGAATTTTTTTAACTTTGACGATCCACGAAAAAATATTGCGTATATCAATTTAATTTTGTTATAAAATCGCATTCCTATAAATAAATAAAAATGGATTGTTTCCTTCATAATAAATAAGATAGTAGCATCGAAGAGTTAAAATCTCATAGCAGTTATAGAGTATTAGCCTTTTAAAACACTACTTAAGATAATTCTTAACATAAGAGAATGAACTATATAATATCGGTTTATATATATGATGTGAAAACGTTATCAGTCTCAATAATAAGAAAAGTCCAAGATCGTAGTTTTGTTCGTAAATTTAAATTCGCAATTTATAACTTTTATAGTTCAGCCCAAGTGTAGTTTCATAGCTCATGAATATCAGAAAACATCCGATGTCCGATGTTCTTGCGACTGCGATCTGCAACTAACACCCTTGTCGGACTTTATTTACACGATATACGATCCGCGAACAGCCGAAAGGAAAATGTTTATGATGCGCAAATGCATTAAGCGAATGCCGATCTCGTGATATGTGTCCGCATAAACCAGTATTTGTCCTGCAACTGCCGAATCGATCAATACCAGTGTCTCTCGGCTATGCAGAGTTAGAAACACTACAACCTAACACTCGATGGAGAGAACGTTCTTTTACTCTTAGCCTTAGCAGATCAGATAGATAAGTTTATTTATCCTATAGGGTGAGGAAAAGAAAAGAAAAGACGAGAAGTTTTCTTAAACACACATACGGTGCAATCTATACCTACCTACTTGCAGAGTGACCTGTGGGACCTTAGGAACATGCTGCGACAGTAGTATCTTTCAGTAAATTCAAGCTCACGAAAGTCTGAAACAAGGTTTCCCCTTGCTCCATTCGTAATTTCTTTCAAATAATGCATGAAAAAACTTTGAAAACTACGTGTTCATTCTTGACGTAAATCTATTCCGAAGATAGATAAAGGAAGATAAATACAAGAAAAAATAAAAAATAAATGAATAAATAAATAAAAGATCTAGAAGACTCAACATTGTGAAAATTAAATTTGTTCACTGTGACAAAGGAAGAGCCCCGTGCCGGAGTTTCCTCTTCATCTTGGTTAATAAAGGCAACATTTCCGGGACGCATGTCAGAAAAAGGGCTAATCAAGTATTCTCTCTATCTCCTTCTTTCTTCCTCTTACACACATACACCTTCTCTTTCTCTTTTTGTAAAACGCTCGTGCATATGCATCACCCAGCGTGCACCTTGCGCATCTTTATTCCCGTGCACAATGTGCGCGGTATATACGCGTGATACATTTTTTTAGGGTACCGTGTGAGAGAGATAGAGAGAAGAGTAGAAGAGAGAGAAAGAAAGGTTGATGAAGAAATCTCAGTTCCGTGAGAGCTCGCACACCGGTATACCGGAAGCGAGGTAGCAACCTAATTATAACAAAAACTTCCAGCCGCTCATTACCGGTTAAATACGTTTTCCCGTGCGCATAGAGCGACGCGCGTCAGGACGTACATAGTGT